AAAGACATTAGTAACAAGATCCCTAGATGTTTTGATGTTTTCAAGAGAGAATTTAGCAAGTTCCTCAAGTTGGTTCCTGATCAGCCAAGCTGTAGTACATACATTTGACAGTGTACAGATAGCAGCAACAACCTGGTTGATCATGCCATCCACTGGGAAGCTTAATCTGGAACCAAGCCTGTGGGGGGCACTGACCCCTGAAACACTTTTTGGGTAATCTCCAGATACACAAACCTTGCAGAAGACTTCAACAGTATACAATAATAGCACAAAAAAAAGGTGTGCAAAAAGAATAACTAGATAGTGAGCAAATAATTTTTTAATTTCTATCAAATGGGAAGCAAAGAGACAAAGCTCTATATCTCAAGTACATCTCTTAATTTTATGTGGAAAAAAGACACTTATGTACAGTTCAGGACATTTATTTAGAAGAAAATGGCTTCTTCAGTCCTAATTAGGATAGCAGAAGCCACTCAGGAGAAATGCTTCCTCTAATAAATATCCTGAACAGCACACAGTGTCTTTTTCCACATTTTATCGGTATCACCACACCATGTTTATACCCATCATAGACAATAATAATAGTACTGCATTGTATCATCACTTACAAACATGGTTAGAATCTGTATAAGAAAAGAATACATTGATGCAACAAATGAAGCTGATATAAACCAGGTTTTGCTGTGGGACACAGAAAACTGCACGATTAGCAAGTTATTCAGGTACAGGTACACATAAATATGGTTAAATTATCATGCATAACAGCATATGTGTAGATTACCTGGGATAACCCAAGAAAAGAGTCAGACAAAGTGACTTATTTCCAATGGGGTCTTTGATACTCAATGAGGACAAATTTAAGTTACTCAAAAAAAAAAAAAGTGAAAAATAAAAAACTGGAATGGAATACAAAATACTATCATTCAACAAAGCAGAAAAGTAATGTTGGAAACTTAAAAGGATAATATCAGCAGGTCGTGTGTTCGAGAATCAACTACAGGCTGACCACATGTAGGTAAATTTACCTACCTATAATTTGCATGTGGTCATTGTCTTTGCAACCCAGTCCCAGACCAGACCTCCTTGCTGATTACTTGATCAATCTGGCTGATGATGCTAGCAGCACACAGTCCAACAGGCACCATGACCTGGCTGCGAGTTGGTTTGAATTTATTTTATATCACATTCCCATTTTTAATTCATTAACTTTTCCACTGTGAAATACAGTAACTGAAATTTGTCCTCATTGAAAATTATATTTGCCTGTATTAACTTGTCTGTCACCAGCTTGAAGACTCCTCTACCCCAAAGTCCAGACTGAGGCTAGCTTCCCTGTTTACCTCTTGGTCACCCAGACTGTGTTAGCAATGCTCAGGCCCACATAGCCATCACAACCTGGCTGATCCAGCACTTCTAGAAGAAGGCTGACTAGCTTCTTCAAAACTTCTTTGTTTTGGTCATATCATTCATATGTCGAAGAATCTTGGCCCACAGACATTAATGCAGTGTTCTCTAACTGTACCCATGGCCTCCCTGTTCTTCACTGCATTTATTCCACATTTTATCCTACAATTTTTACTTCAGTAAGTCGCTATAACAGTGCACAGGTTAGGAACCATGCCCTCAAGTATGTTATATGTAAATACTGTATTATTATCAAGTACTGTATCTCTCTCTTCTCCATTCCAAAGACAACAATAGTTTAGATGTTTCACTGATTCTTGGTGGGCAATATGCAACCTCTGTACATTTTCCAGCTTCATTACCTCTCTCTCTCTGCTCACTGAAAGATCCCTTTGTGTATCAGCTGGGAGATTTGCTGTGTAATCCTTAGATGCCACTTTCCTGTAAATTTTAATATCTGCAAAGGGTAATGCACTGCTATGATTTATGTCTATGTCAAATACTGGAAGGATCCTTAAAGAACAGATCTTTTCCCTGTGGCAGTTCTTTATTTTATTTAGTGTAGGAAGGTGTGGCGAGTAGGCAATATGGTAAAGAGATTGGGTAATAATTTGTGGCAACTAGGTAATGAGGTGTGTTAGCTGTGTAATTTGGCATGGTGATTGGGTAATAGTGTGGTGATTGGGTAACGAGGTATCTCACCTTGGTGAGTAGGTCCCTGTTGAGGCTGGCCCGACATGCGTGCATGTGACATGAACCGTCAGGTGAGCACGAGAATGGTTAGCCGAATAGCCCACAGTCGACTTGAACATCACTGTCCAATGGCATGGATATGCTGGTACAAATGGCACATCTCAGACAAACATATGAAACCGCAGCATGCCATTACAAAGTCCAACACAGATCCAAAATCAGACATGAACCAGATATGCCTTTTGAAAACAAAAATATTATAGTCCTTAATTACAATCTGTTCATTGAAAAATTATGCACTATTTACAAATTGTTTGTGCACACAAATGTATAAAACAAGGAACAGTAAGAAAGCAAAGAACCTTAGTTTGATTCTGAGAGGACTAAACATTGGACAAGTACATTACACTCAGGCTATTTTCATGTAAGAGTTATTAAGCATCCTAGTGTTAGTCGACTGTTGTGGGGTCACAATCTGGAGAAGGACCTAAGGCCCCCATTGTAAATAAGCCAGGAACCTCAAGGAGGTTGAGAGGACCTGACCAACAACTGTGTGGCTTACTTGAGAAATCTTGGGTGTATTGTAATGTGGCATTTTAGTTGCCTCTTACAACACGCATGGCTTACGGAGGAAGAATTCTGTTCCACTTCCCCATAGAGATTAGAGGAAATAAACAAGAACAAGAACTAGAAAGAAAATGGCAGAAAACCCAGAAGGGTGTGTATATATATGCTTGTACATGTGTGTATAGTGTGACCTAAGTGTAAGTAGAAGTAGCAAGACGTACCTGTAATCTTGCATATTTATGAGACAGACAAAAGACACCAGCAATCCTACCATCATGTAAAACAATTACAGGCTTTCGTTTTACACTCACTTGGCAGGACGGTAGTACCTCCCTGGGTGGTTGCTGTCTACCAACCTACTACCTACAACTGTAAATTTACAGGTTTGAATTCTCTGGAAGAACAATGAAAACTAAAAATTTGTATGGATATAGAATTTAAGTGTAACAATGATTTAAAAGTGGCTGGCAGTCAGCTCAACTGCTTGAGCTGCCTACTACCTCCTCATTCCTAGAATTGTTTTTTTTTCCAACAAGACCGCCATCTCCCACTGATGCAGGGTGACCCAAAAAGAAAGAAAATCCCCAAAAAGAAAATACTTTCAACATCATTCAACATTTTCACCTCACTCACACATAATCACTGTCTTTGCAGAGGCACCCAGATACAACAGTTTAGAAGCATATATAACATATCCCTCCAAACTGCCAATATCCCAAACCCCTCCTTTAAAGTGCAGGCATTGTACAAAAAATGCATGTAGTACTATTTAGAAAAATATGTTCTTTCAAAATGAAAGTTTTGTTCATTATTTCCCCACATGGGAGTAACTAACAATACATGACCTCTCACAGTTAAATGATGATTGACTTCTCATAATCCATGACTGATTTCTAAAATAGTTTGTGACAGAACCAATTAGAAGAAATGGCCTGCTGGATATTTTTCTGGCAAACATGTAAACCCTGGTTAAAAACTTGAGTTCAATGAAGAGCTTGGAACAAGTAACCACAAAACAACTTACTGTATTTTCCGGCAAATAAGATGCGCCTTTTTCCCACAAAAAGACTTGGAAAATCAGCCTGCGCCTTATATGCTCAAGGTCAGGATTAAAGGTAGGCTTTAGGTTATGCTTTTTATAAAGTAAGAGGGTAATTAACTCTTGAATATAATTACTGATTTACCATTATGCTTCTTCTGTTGTGTGCCTTATATGCCAAAAAATATGGCATATAGGGAGCACAACATTTGAATATCAATGGAGTTAATGTCCCTGATTTTTGTACTGTGGGCAATATGGGGTTAAGGGGCCACCTAGCTAGTCTAGACAGGGTTAACTTGGCTAGGGATTATTGGGAGGGAGACCTGGAAAATGGTGGTGGACATAGTTGCCAATATGACATTTCCCAATTACTGTACAGAAAACAACATTCATCACTGTGCGACAAAAATCCTTCACTTAAAACCAACCCAAAGTGATCAAGGCCACTTAAACTTTCTTAACTCTCTCTTCCTGTCTATCCACAATCTCTCTCATTACTCTCTCCTTCCCAAATCCTTCCCTTCCCAAATCCTTCCCTTCCCATTTCTTGCCATCAATTTTATGGCCTAACACCCCCCTCCCCTCCAAAAAAAAAAATGTGTAAGTCAGGAGTGAGACAACACTGTGTGCACCTTCATCTACAGTTAGTTTAGTTTAATATGTTATTATGCACCCCATACCCATCTTGTGGGCAGTAGTCAAAAGATTACAGAGGTACATAATGGGTCCAGGGACTGGACCCCAAAGTTATGATAGCTGAACTAGTTACAAAGGTAATGAACTCCAGGTAGATCTGGTCACAATCATGGCAAGTAACAAAGGTAATGAACTTCAGGTTCCATCTACAGAGTGTGGGTTAGTTGTAACCTCTCTTAGTGAAGTGTTAATGACTGCTTCTTATTTTTACTGAAATAAAGTCCATTATTCTGGAAGCAGTATGACAGCTACTGCATGATGACTGTCAGACATTGATCTCATCTGTTACACTGGCTTAGACCCATACTTCATAGGTAACCGCCTGATCAATCAGGCTGATGTCATTTACAGTCCACAGGCCTACACAGCCATTACAATCTGGATAATACTGCATTTTTTGCATGGTTTGATACAGTTTCCTCTTGAAAGCATCTAACGTTGTTCCAGTAATTCTTTTTACTTCTGTTGCTAGAAAGCTGAAGAGTCATGGACCACAGATGTTGACACTACTCTAATTATGCCTGTTACATCCTTGCTCTTCACTGGGTAAATTCTGTATCTTTTTCCCTGTACCTATTTCTCCAGTAAGTGCCTATGATATTTTTTTACTGGGTTTATTTTACACTACCTCTGATACGTCAGTGCAGTGAGTGGTGTGTGCGGTATACTTACTGGCTAACCGGAGTTTGATGGGAGGGCCTGTGATGACCCCCATGCGAGTAGTGACCAGGCACCTGTACTCCCCCTCGTCACTAGTACCTGACCGACGGTGGACAATCTGAAACACAAAAGCCTCATTACATTACTGTAAAAAAATGAAGGATCTAGGAGTATCACATCGAATATATCCCATGAAGGGTACATGTGAGGCTAGCAAATATCACAACAGCCTTCAGGAATCTCAACAGAGTCGCATATACCAATCTTGTATAATTCTGTATATAACTTAACTCAGGCCCATCTTAGAGCATGCAGCACCAGCCTGCAACTTGATTAAGCAGGTTCAAAAACTTGAAAAAGAGCAGTACACTCATTGGTACTCTCATACAAATTCTAATATCGTCTGCAAAGGATATGTTGTTATTATTGTTCCTCTCTATGTGGGATATAAGAAAGAGAAAGTAGGATGAGTACTGTTCATTAGGTTATGTCAGAAATTTTGGTGATGATGAGTTTTGGGTCTTCTCCATGAAAATTCCATTTCACATGTCAATATTTAGTCTGATTAATGCCTAACTAATCGGGCTGTGGTTCGTACACTGGCTGTGTACTGCCAGCATAACGGCCTGGTTGATCAGGCCTTGATCCACAAGAAGCTCTGGTCTAGGACTGGGTCGGTGGGCGTTGACCCCAACGATATGTTGGACTGGGTGTGACTGCCGCCAAACAGCCTTTATGATTAGGCCGTCCAACTAGGTTTGGTCTGGAATCGGACTATTGGTATCACCACCCCCGCAATCGTCAAGAAACCTTCAGGTAACGGGTCTGACAAAGACCCACTGTGACCAATGTAATCCTGTTTGTGCTACCCCTCACTGGATGAGCTGTGAGTGCACAGTGAACTAACCGATCATATGAACCAAAGTCATTTAAATCGTTATAAAACAATTGCAAACAAACCACGGTATGGGTGGGGCTTGAACCCACTTGCCGTGAATTCAAGTCTCACCTATACCGTGGAAAGTCATTTAAAGTTTGCTCTTAGATAGTGGCTTATTTGTATACAAGTTGTGAATGCAATAATACACCAATAATCCTTGATTATTCGTTTTCCCTTTATCTAATAAGTACTTCTTTCTCCAAATAAGTAATACATAAGAACATAAGAAAGGAGGAACACTGCAGCAGGCCTGTTGGCCCATACTGGGCAGGTCCTTCACAAATCCAACCCACTTTAGTTCTACCCTAACAATAAGCTCTGATAAATTCACTAACTCACGTGCAAGTCCCACTCAAATCCAACCCCCTCATGTATTTATCCAACCTATATTTGAAAGCACCCAAGGTTTTAGCTTCAATCACCCTACTAGGCAGACTGTTCCACTCATCAACTACCCTATTTCCAAACCAATACTTTCCTATATCCTTTCTATATCTAAACTTATCTAAACTAATAAGACAGTTAATAAGCCCCAGTGATTTGTCAGCATCTGAAGACTCCCTTGAGTACTACACAACTGGGTAATAAGGTGGTGATTGGGTAATAACGTGTGGTGATATCGTAATGAATTGCGATGACTGGGTAACGACGTGTCTCACCTTGGTGATATTGAGGTGCCCCGCCTGGGTGAGCAGGTGACGGCGGTCGAGCACAGAGACGTTGTTACGAAGCCATGTGACGTTGAGCCAGTCATGGGCAGGGATGGTGGTAGCCAGGGCACACTCCAGCACCACGTTCGAACCCCGAGACGTCCACACACTCCACCCAGACCCAACACCGTCAGACCATGAACCAGATATGCCTGAAACACAAAAACTTTTTAATATTAAATATCAATTTATAATACATGACCCCTCCCCCCTCCCCAAACAAAAAACATGCACTGCCATAAATTGTTAGTAGATACTCAATACATAAACAATAAACACTTCCCAAGGAACCAACGTTCGATTCTCGTGTGGGACGAAGTGTATGGGAAGGTCACCTTACACCTGCTGTCCCTGTTCACCTAGCAGTAAGTAGGTACCTGGGTGTTAGTCAACTGCTGTGGGTCGCATCCTGGGGAAGAATCTGAAGATTAAAATGGAAATACGCCAAAGATCCAACATTAGTTAAGGACCCTAATGGAAATAAATGGTATAAAATACCGACACAATGGCAATATAAACACAAATGCAGTATAATGTGATCCTTTATTGACTACGTTTCGCCCACACAGTGGGCTTTTTTAAGTCACAAACAGAACTGTTTGTGACTTGAAAAAAACCCACTGTGTGGGCGAAAAGTAGTCAATAAAGGATCACATTATTTCTGCATTTGTGTTTTATATTGCCAAGGACCCTAATGTTAATAAGTCAAACACCACAATGTTAATAAGTCATAAGACACAATGTTAATAAGTCAAAGACCACAATGTTAATAAGTCATAAGACACGATGTTAATAAGTCATAAAATAAAATAAGGTCAATGAGTCAATAAGTACAACAGGAAAAAGTAGGAAAAAGTATTTTATATATATAAAATTTTATATTTATATAAATATTTTATATATTATATATATCTATATATATATATTTGACGAATATAACACAAATCATGGTGGTAAACAAAGGAAAATCTAGCCGTAGCAAAGTAAAAAAAAAATACAAAATCAGTAGGTGGAGGCAGTGTCGTGGCGTCTTTACTGTCTTTCATGGTCATGGCAGACACAGATAACAACACAAGTCAAAGCTTCGTATCATCCTTGGTGGCTGATACCAAGGTAAGAATGAAAGTTGCCTTGGAGTCAGTTCCTAATTAGTCGGAATGCGTTGCGACGCACGTTGGGTTGCGTGTGGCCTTGGTCATCAGTCCATGAACCAGGAGACCTGGTCTAGAACCTAAGACTGGGACCGTCTGCAAAACAGGGGTACACACTAACCACTCTTCGACCTGGGGGTTGATATATTTTATTTTTTTCTTTCCAAACTGGATACAGAGTGCTTTAAGAAACCAACCGTAGGCCAGCAACTCCCCAAGCGGGAGCCACGGGAAACATACTGGGTAGGTGCACTGTCTACACAGATACTCAAGTGTACAAGTAGAGCAAGAAACTTGCTTCATCTACTTCCTGGGAACCCGAGACTGGCCTGCTTATACGATCTCCCTAAGACACACAAGCCAAGGATAGCACTTAGACTCATCACTTCAAGTATGAGTAGTGCCCCACACCAGCTTGCAGGAGTACTCTCCAACCACCTCTCCAAGATGTTGAGAGACGTCAGTCCTACCTACCTCACACACTCAGGGAACGTTGTGGCCACGATTAGAGACATTAATGTGAGGAACAAGAAGTTCACTAGTTACAGCGTCACTTCTCTATTCACCAGGGTCCTCAAACACCAAACTATTATTATACTTCAACGCAAACTTACTGACGACTAACACCTCGAAGAACAAAAGGGCACAATACCGTCAGTGGAACCATACACAAATAACTCGCACACAGAGAGAGAACCTACGACGATGTTTCGGTCCTACTTGGACCGGAACGTTATAAGGCCTTGATATAAGACCAAATAAGGGCCAAAGATTCCGTGTATGTCACTGAGTTTTTCATTACCTTCAATCACTTATCCTTTAGTGACACGGTGCAAAATGACTAGTTAAAAGCACGGGCTTGATGAATACACGGAAAGACAACTCAATAAGTGTGTGGGGACCAAGACTCATCAACACCCTCCCTGAATAAACTTGATAAGTTCCTCAAGTTAGGTTTTAATCAGCCGGGCTGTAGTGCATACGTTAGTCTGGCCTGACCAGGGTGTTGGTGCCAGCTGCATGCTGGCACCAACAGCCTGGTCAATTAGGACAGCAACCGAGAGGCCTGAGCGGGGCCTACTAGAAAAAAGTCAGGCTCATAAGGTGAACCAGTATTTAACAATGAAGTTGTAGAGGATTTGGAAAGATGCAGGAGTTGAAAGTATGGTTATCTGTACCATATGTTGAGTCTCTCGCTTTCAAATGGAGTAATTTGAGTGTGCAGGTTTCAGAATATTCCAGGTGTAAATTATGATGCATCTTTCTTCCCTACGTTCCTAGGAGTACTGTTCCGATGGATTTCGAAAGTTTTCCTACTCCCAGAGCATGGCCACGGGCCACGTTTGTTTGATGCTTGCCTGCTCAATCAGGCTGGTGCTGCTTTCGGCCTGCTGGCCCACATATCCATCAGAGACTGGTTGATCTGGCCCATTCTAGCCTCTAAAGCATTCACGGTAATTCAGGTGCCTGACTGAAATTAAAAGAGCAATGAATGTTCTCTGTATGTAAGGCAGTTTCTTTGTTAAAAGGGATGGGGGGTTAAAAAATTAAAAATTCCCAAAAGCTTTGTTTGGGTTTTTAAGTATTTTAATCCCTAAAGCCCGGTTTTTAATCCTGTAACGGGGCATTAAAATTTTTAAGAATTATTATTTTTTATTTTTATTATTTTTTTAATGGAAAAGGGTGTTTCGCTTCCTGGGGACTCCAATAATTTTTTAATTTGGAAAATTTTGTCGGGGTTTTTTTCTTTTTTGGGGTTAAAATTACGGGAAGTAAAAATTTTGTTTTTTGATTATTATTTTATTTAATTATTAAAAAAAATTTTTTTTTATTAAATATTATTTTTTAAAAGGGTAAAAGGAAGGTGGGAAATTTCAAGGGGCTGAGTTTTTTAATCCGGGTTTTTTTAAATTTTTATTTTTTTTTCATTTTAATTTCCCCAATTTTTGGGGGTTAAAATTTAATAATAAATTTTTTTTTTAAAGTAATAAACTTTTTCCCCGTCTTGGTTAAATAAACAACAACAAAGGCCCTTTTTTATCAACTTCCAAAATTTTAAATAAACCCCGGGAATTTTAAAATGTTTAACCCCCGGGAACTTTTTAGGGAATTTAACGGGGGAAGAGATTTTTAATGTTTTAAAAAGGACTGGGTGAAAAACTCCCTTCAAAATTAATATGGTTTCCCTTTTCACAAAACCATTTTCCCTTTAATTTTAACCAGGGGTTGTTTAAAAAATTTCCCTTAAATTTCACAATTTTCTTTTAAAATTTAAAAACAGGGGTTAACAAAATTAACTTTAAAAACCTCGGAGGATTTCCCTTCCCCCGGAAAAAAGGGTAAAAGCCCCCCAGGGGGGCCCCCAAAAACCCCGTTTTAACAAAAAAAAAGGAAATAGAATTTTTTTTGCTAGGGAACAGGGAAAGGATTGTCTAAGATTCCCAGTAATTGTTTTTTCCAAAAAAGGGACCACAAATTTTGTGGCTAGGCGTTTTTTAATTTAAAACCGGGAACTAAAATTTTTGGTTTCTCCACCAAACGGGTTAAATGGGGCTGGGTTGTTTATAAAATTTTATTTCCTCCCCTTTTCATTTTAAATTTTTTTTTGGGAAATTATTAAATTTTTAGGTTTTACCAACTTAAATTTAAACCCGCGAGAAGGAAAATTTTTAATTTTTCCCTTCGGAAAATTTTTGTTTTTCCCCAGGGCCCCCTTCAGAGGGGGTTTCTCCCGGGAAGGAAAATTTTTCCCAAAGGGGCCGAACAAAAATTTTTCCAAAAATCATTAAATTTTAAATTGTCTCGCCCCAAGTACTATTTAAATTTTGTATTTTGTCTCGGGCGCGTATCTAGTTGAATGTTTTATTGTCTAAAGGGGAAGTATCTATTTTAAATGTTTTGGCCCGGGCGGTTTCTAGTGAATGTTATAGGTTGTCTAAAGGGCAGAAATTTAGTTAAATGTTTTAGTTGTCTCTGGGGCCAGTATCTGGGTTGAATTTTTTAATTTTTGTCTCAGGCAGTTTTAGTTGAATGTTTTAGTTTCTCAGCGAATTTTTTATTTTAGTTTTGAAAAGTTTTTTTGGTTTCTTTCCCAATATCTATTTGGGAATTTTTAATTTGTCTCAGCGCAGTTTTCTTTTTTGAATGTTTGTTGTCCCAGGGGCCAGAAAACCCTATTGAAATTTTTGGGGGTTTCCCCGCGCAGTATCTATTAAATGTTTATTTTTCCTCACGAAGTATCTTTTTTTGAATTTTTATATTTTGTTTCAGCGCAGAATCTATTTGGGAATGTTTTTTTGTCTCAGCGAAAGTATCTTTTGAATGTTAAAGTTGTCTTCAGCGCAAAAATCTATTGGGAATGTTTAGTTGTCTAAAGGGCAGAAATCTAGTTGAATTTTTAGTTGTTTTCAGCGCAGTTTTCCTTAAAATTTTATAGTTGTCTCAGGGGAATATCTAGTTGAATGTTTAGTTGTCTCGGGCGCAGTATCAAGTTGAATTTTTAATATTTGGGTCTCGGGCGCTTTTCCTATTGAATGTTTTTTTTTGTCTCAGCGAAGGGATCTATTTGAATTTTTAAATAGTTTTCTCAGCGAAATTTTTCTAGTTAAAATTTTTTGTGTTGTCTCAGCGAAAGAAAATTCTTTAAATGTTTTAGTTTTCTCACGAAATACAAATAAAGGGTTTGTAGTTGTCCCCAGCGAAAGTAACTAGTTGAATGTTATTTTTGGTCCCCAGGCGATATTAGTTGAATGTTTAGTTGTCTCAGCGAAATTATCTTTTGGGAATTTTGGGTAGTTTTTTCTCGGCGCAGTACCCTAGTTAAATTTTTTGGGGTTGCCCTCAGCGGGGTTTTCTAGTTAATTTTAAGTTGTCTAAAGCCAGTATCTAGTTAAATTTTGTGGTTCAGCGAAGTATTTTATTTGGGAATGTTTAGTTGTCTCAGCGGGGATCATTTTTGAATGTTTGTAGTTGCTCAGGCAAAACTAGTTAATTTGTTTTTT